AGAAATTCTGAAATTCTGAAAAATGCCTCCCTAGTATTTGCACATTTGTTAGATAGTCCAATTTAGTCCTCCCACATTAGCAAACTACATTGAGGCTGCAGTGTGAAATTAATGATTTTCCAGGACTAGAAAATGTGCCATTAATATGCATCCAACTTGCCTCTTCCGTGAGCTTAAGGCTCACTGTCCTGACATTGCCTGCACATTTCTACACCCAGTTGCATTTTCCAGCCCATGGGCAGCTCCACAATTAAATGCCACATTCACTAGGAGAAGGTGTGCAAAACAGATTTCAGATCCTTTAAAGTAAAAGGCACAACTTGCAGCACAACAAGGAATGGGGTGATTTAAGAAATTACAACACTGTTTTTTTAAGCTTTCACAGAATAAACACAGAAAATGGGAGGGAAACTTTCCCCCTCTGCTCCTGTTCTTGAAGTGAATACATATTTGTGTTTCCAATAAAAGGCTGTTTTTACATTAACTGTCTGTAACAGCAGGAGACAGAAAAACTAACACAATCTCCACATCACACACAGAATGATCTTCATATCACGTGGCCCAATTCTCAACACTATTATTTATAAAAGACAACTAGGAAAATGCACAATGCATCTTTTCTGTGTCACCAAAAGGGTAATGTCTGAAGAACTTTGGGATCTCTGGGATCCTCCACATTCTAGATTTTTTTTTTTTTTTTGGCTTTCCGAACTAAATTTAGCAGCCATGCGGGCCACTGTTTAATTAAGCTTTCGAAAGTCCTCTGACAATGCCAACAATTGTAGGACACTTCTGCGGCTCAATCATGCAATCACTGTGACAGTTCTATTTACAATTTGTCTTAGAAAGAGTTTCTCTGACATTGTACTGTGACAAAACATCCAAGCTGCCAGTTCACAACCTTTCTCTGTCTTATTTACAAATACAGCTTGTAGAGAGGACTCCCAGATTCCTGACCAGGAGACTTTGGGTAGTAGCCTCACCAACACAGGCTCCCAGGGAAAATCCTAGATACTAATTAGGAAACAGTATTCTCTATCCTCTGGATTCTGAAGGGAAATGAAATGTTCACCAGTATGTTGGGGGCTTTTATGTTTGTTGTTTTTTTCAGCTGCCATGCTAAAAATTCACTTTAGGAGGCACTGGTTTTATTCAGAATCACACAAATAAAGAGAAATGAAAAAGAAGTAGTCATGATAGATTACTATAATGTATAGTCTCATTTACAATCACACTGAGAAGTGCACAAATGCATCTTCCAGTTCAGTCTGAGCTAGGCAAGAATTAGAATTGGTACAGAAAGAAAAGACAAGGTGATTTTCTAAATTCGGAAAAGCCTAAGTATATTATACTTGATTTACCTTTCAGTAACATGCTCATATGGTTCTGTTCTGAGTTAGTATTTCTTCCTTCATTAGAGTTATCTGTCATTATCTAGATATGAGGTGTGTTGTCTAGGCAAATAATTTTTAAAGACCCTGATATAAATGTCTATACTCATGATTTTAATGAGAAAAAATGTTGTATATCAACAGTGACAGACTTTACCACTTTATAGGACTTGTCATATTTTCTCCCATTCTCTCAAAAGAGCTAACTTTATGACAGCCCAACCCTAATTTAAAGATTTGTATGTGCAGTAAGCCCAAACCTCAAATCTGACACTGTGGGATAATATTTTTTGGCCTTTTCTATAAACGAACAGCAGTTTCACATTCACTAATCTTCAGTGACTATTTCCTCCATCACAAAATATGAGACTAGAAAACAAAACAAAACCCCTATTAAAATCCCTGGCTGCCAAAGGCTACTGATAGCTGATGGTGGATATTTGACACACCAATTGATGAACTGGGTCCCATACAATATAACCTGCTCATTTCCAGTTAAATTAATACTCTTTGAAGGGTCTCAATGGAATACTCTTTGAAGGGTCTCAATGGATCACAGTCACACAATATTTTGAATATTTGAATGAAATGAAAAAAAAGCAATCTGATCAACATATATGTGTGTAGTAAACACATGTACGTGGGTAAAGCATTAGGGCATATACCTATCTATTTGCCAGGTAAAAAAAAAAATCATCCTTTCTATAAAATACTCAGATTTGAAAGGCCTACGAATGTTCAAAATGCATACCACTCTACTGAAGATTTAAAGAACTCTACCTTCTCCTCCTATTTGAAAGCCCCGAATTCTAAGCTTTATTTATCTCAGGAAGATCTGTCACTGTTTTATTCCTGCTTCCTGCCTACAAAATGGCACAGAGCACACAGTGAGCTCCAATCCAACTTACATCACTTTAATAAAGCTTTTCCTTACACAGCACACTTAAATGACTACCTTTTATGTGGTTGCCAAACATATTCTTCTTGAGATTCATCAATAGATCTCCCTCCTAATACAGAGCATCACTTTTCCTTTCTTTTTGTGACACAATTCAAATATCCACTGAATGATTCCTCTTATTGTTTCCTTCCTCACCATAAAAAGAAAAGCAGACTTGAAACTGTGAAGACGTGCTTGAGAAAAATAGGCTGGTAATACACAGCCTTCTTCCAGAATGTACCCTTCAGAGGCACCTGAGGGCCAGGACATCTTAATTTATGTGCAATGGTAGAATGTTAATTTCACCAGAGGAAACTCTTAATTCATTACTGTGAGTTATGAGAAGTCATGATTCTCGTTACTGACATCTCACTTTGAGATGTGACCACACTATTTATGGTCAGCCAGTTCCAGGGTGGGAACAGGTGATTAAACACAACGAAAGGAATCAAGGCTTTGTAATTATTTGTGCATGAAAGGTTTACCTCACCTGGGTCACAGCACTTGTGCACCCATTTAATATTTTAGACACCCTACACAGCTTTTCATCTCAGTGAAATTATTTTTGTATTAGACCTATAGAGCATATTTTAAATTTGCTTTTGTTTTTTGGCTTCTCTGGACTCTGCTATTCTAATAGTTCTTTTAAAAAAAAAAGCATATGACAACCAGAAAGTCAAGGAAAATATGCTTTACTTCCCTACATAGATTCACAACTCACTACAAGAGCAAAAAGCCTTCACTGTATGGCCGTCCCCACAGCTTTTAGATTCCTCCTCTAAATACAGAAGCACAGAATTTGGGGGCTGGTTAATCTGGGCTGAATAACCTATTTGAGACCTCAGTGAGAAGTGTGGTTTTAATTCTTGCTTGACAGACACTGTGTTTTGTCTTTTAAACTAGCAGCTCGATATGTAAATACGATGTTACATCACGCAAGTGTTACTCCATATTTGGTGATTTAGAAAGGCTTTGGATCTCCGAAGACGACAAATCCCCTTCCGCTTGCTCTTGCTTCATTAATCATGCCTTACACTTCTGTTCATTTTCCTTCCAGTCACAAGACAGCACATGGAAATGGACATTGCTATACCCTACTGGGAGGCAAGGGAGATAAAATCTTAACCTAAATGTGGGGGATTCAAGAAAAGTATTTTGTAAATGCAGCTTCCCTGGTAGATTTCTCATTTCACTAAAGGAAAAGTATCTGAGTATTATTGCAGGAAGGATTTTAAACAAGAAAGAAAATGCCACGTTTGATTTTAATGATCAAATTCCAGACGGGGATAGGAGAAATAATATGACATTTAATTCTCTGTGGACCACTGACCTACTACAGTTCAACTTTGTGGTCAAACTAGGTGGGAGAGACCAGTTCCAGTGAATTAATTGATTATATGCACTATCTTTCCTAAAACTGAACAAACCTTCCCTCATTGGGAGGAGGGGGCAGGGGGGAATAGAAAACAGGGATCCACTAACATGTATGGCATTTTTGTCACCACAAGAATCTGCAGTCATTTTATCTTATGTGTTAAATCACTGTTGTTTCATAAAAAATGTTTTAAGGGTCACTGTACAGTGTTGTTGTTTATCACTTACAGTAGGGATTCAAGTCCCTCTATTAGTCGTTAATTCCTTTTCCCTTGAGCTGCTGAGAAACCCACATACCTAGCTATCTCTCTGCTAAAATTAACCGAAGGAAGAAGAGCTGTGGAATATGTCTGTGTATTTTTCACAGAGAATTTGTACATTGTGTTACAGCAGATCCAGTGGAAGTCTGGACTGGACATTTGTAAGGGTGACATGTGGTTGTGTAAACCACAAACAAAATCAAGATACATCTGTCAAAACCACATCAGAGACAAGAGAGAGCACAGAGAAGCATTTATCATTTAGCTGAGGAGGCAGGCTGCAGGGAGCAGCCGTTCCTGTCAAACCAACCTTTTGAAATTTCCAACATGCCCTTAAACTTTTCGAGTAAGCATGTCTGTGCGCTTCAGCAACTGCCCTCTCTACTCTGGCCTGGCCAGTCGAAAATGGCATCTTAAAGTCAAGGTCATGGTGTCATCCCACCACGGGGCTGTGTTTAATTACAGCCCCATACCGGCTGACAGCCAATATGGATCCAAGGCTAGCCCTGAAGCTCAGTTAACTCTTTCTACCCCCTCCAAACTGCCCTGCCAGTCCACCCCACTTCCCGGAAGCCTTGAGAACTATCTGCACCCCTAGGGAGGCCTGGCCAGTTATTCTGACTCACACAGGTCATTTGTCGAACTCAAATGCCTACATGTCCACTTTTGCCTCTGACTTGTCACCCAGGCTGGAAATGGACATTGGAAACTGGGCTAAATGTACTAAGGGTCATCATTTAAAAATGAGACAGGGAGAAAAGAGGAAAGAAATTCTGAATCAGCAGATCCAAAAAGAAAGTATCAGATTTGTGTACCTATTCCACCTACATCTGACTGAATGAAGTGGAAAATATTTATTTTTGTGTATACTGGACATAAGCAATAGGAATGATTATTTTAACATTACAAGGCTGTCATGGACAGTCACATGGAGAAATACAGAAAGCACTTCACCACTCCTTAGTGCTTGACTACAGCACCTCTGAAAATGAAAAGAAAACATGCAAACAGCTTTTCTCCTTGCTTCTCATTTACCTGCTATGTGTTCCTGTTTGGGGCAAATTCCTCTAGATGACGTTGATAAACAATCGTCATCCTCTGGCGTGACCTGGATGCCAACCTCCACGGGATTGGATGCTTTTTTCATCTCGATTGGTGAAGGGGAAGGTGGCTTATCCACAGCTTTTTCTAAGCAGAGGCTGCCATTGCATTGTTTCCGTTTGTGCTCGATAAAAATAAGAATGTCCCCCAATGGGAAGTTCATCTGGCACTGCCCACACGTGAGGAGGTCATGGTCCCCTTCTGGAGCTCCCAAAGGGCCGTGGTCTGGTTCATCATCTGTAAGAATGGCTTCAAGAGGTTCGGCTGTGGTTGGAGAAACAAAAGAACAATTATTAGAGTGCCAGAGAGGAGAGAAAAGAGGGAAATATATTCTCAACCCCATTCCATCCCACCACATTATGTAAAGTGTTTCTAGTTTCCTCTATAGAACACCCAGAAAATGTGAGCACCTAAAAGGCACAAGGATGTGGGAATTACCAACAAGAAAGCAAATTTATCAATGAAGCAAATCATCATACATTTAAAGAAAACTGTCTGACTAGCATACTCCAGAGGAAAAACAACACACACACATACATTACAAATGTATCTGGTTTGTGAGTTTAGAAAGAATGTGACTGTTAAATAAATAGCTAACACAGGAGATATAAAGCTTAAATAATAACTACTCCCCCCAAACTGGTAAAAAACATGAACTGAAACCAAATTTGTTTCTTTTTCCTATAGACTAAGTTGTCGATTGTGCCAAAGAATAAGAGGAGAGGTGCATAAACACACATACCCCCTTTGTGTGTGAATGCATATATTCCTAAGTGTACAGAAACATAGCTTCATAAATTAGAACGCTACTACATCACACAGAAAATGTGCCACATTTACACTGCCGTAGTAAGAAAACTGCATTCACCTGTGAAACGAATCTAAATAATAATCATAACGCAGCATAATTCACACTGCCAAAAACCCTTCTGATCTTACTCTCAGCAGTGCCACAAAATCAAAGAAATACCAAATTCACTGGCAAATCTTCGCAGACACATTAGCTAAATGGGATACTTTTGAGTACTTAAGAAAATAAGCCAATTAGTCATTTTTTCATTCTGAAGAAAGGAATACCTAAAATATTCTAAACATGTTTGCACTTAGTAGCCCCTTCACATAAAAATCAGAATGGTCAAGCAAACGCCATGTTTCAGAATAAGGCTGAGAAGTCCTTTCTTTAAACTTGAAATACTTGACCTAATGTTGTCAAAGTTGACTAATTTTCTGAATGAGCTCCAAAATGCTTCATTATGGTACTATTTCTGCACACATGATCACCAGTGGATGGTATAAGAAGGTAGATACATCTTTCATTCCTATTTCCTTTTTTTTCTTCAACTTTGCACCAAAATACTCTAGCTTCTATTGACCAGCTTCTATCATTGTTTGACCTTCCAGGGGAAAAGAGAGTTGGCAAGTCTCTGCTCCTGAAATCTTATGCTTAGAAAAAAAAAAAATCACAAAACACAAAACATTCAGGATGCTGCCAGTTAATAAAACGGAAGAAGAAAATGTACAAGTCTTAAACAGTTAATCAGTCTGACCTTCTTTAGCAAGCTGCCAATTTCACATTTAATGAACTTAAAGCCACAGAGAATCAAAAAATAGATTTTAATTTGAGTGTAGAATATTGGAACCGATTTTGATAAAGTGCAAAAATCTAGTGAACTCAGGTTAAATTTATTTCAACCCTACCCAGGCTGAATATTGAGGGGGAAGATCTGGAGTAACTCCCAGATGTGCTGGGTGAAATAATATTGAGAGAGCCCTGCCTAGCTGCACCTGTGCTCAAGTAGGACATGTCATAATTTCTAGCCTCTGGTACTCCTCCTAATTTAACATAAGGTCACCACAGTAATATGAAGGTTATATTCCTACTAAAAAAGACAGCAAGGTAAGCACTTATGTTTCTTTGCCCAATATACTGACCAAAAAATAAATACAGAATACACATGCATACTTTTCAAATAAAAGGAGACAAACGGAAGTGCTTTTGCATTATGCCTCTATGTCATTTTTCTCCTACATTTGCTTTCATTTTGACCAAGTGAAGAACTGAACAGGGAAGTCCTTCTCCAAGATCCCTGCTACTTGAATTAAGGATTTTAAGCACACATTGACAAATGTGGCTTTTTTGTTCAGCATTAACTACAAGCTCTGAAGTTTACAGGCTGCAGAAAGGCTCAGGAAATTTTTTATTTTATTAAACTTAGTACGTGAAACTCTTGCCAAAAAAAAAAAACAAAACATTTTTTGAAACTCCACTGTTGTGATTCATTTTCTTATTCCCAAGGCCTGTCACATTTCTGAAAGTGGAAATATTTAGGAGCAAAAGGAAGTATTCTCCTAGATAGCAAACAGTTAAAGGTAATGCGGTACAAAACTGACTTGGTTAAAGTCTTCTAAATGTAGTGACTGAACTGATTTACAATCAAAACCAGGAAATGAAGTGGTAATTCAGAGGTTGCTGATTACACCTCCACATTTCACCTAATTAATTTTATAGGAGGCAAAGTTCTTGAAAATAACAAGATGATCAAATGTACAGATATAAAAACCTGTAACCTCAACATTTTCTATGCTCTTAACGTAAATTATTGCTAATTAACAAGAATTATATCCTAATGTATGAAATACGTTTCACATTGGGCTCCTTGCAAAACATTTGGCTAGTAATGTACAGAGAAATACCAAAACGTGTTCTTACTATTGCTGCTATATTATTAAAAATCAGACGAAATGGGGCACAAAGAAAATATGAAAATACAATTCTCTTGGTGTAGTCTACTGATTTGCATTGCCATCTTTTCTCTGTGGCAATCAACATTTCCTTTCTGGGCATCTGATAATTTCTCTGTATTTTAATGCAAATTCCTCTTTCCCTAAAAACATTCCTAACCTCAGCCATTTTACCCCCTCCCTCAATTCAACTCCATCCGCCTTCGCCCCCACAATACCAGCGTTTCTAAGCTCCAGCCTAAGCTCCGGCTACAAAGCGGGGAGTCCAGGATTGAAGTGGAAGGGAGTGGGCAAAAATCATAATAATTAGCGGCGAATTCTCTACAAGAGAAAGAAATAGAAAATAAAATGCTTCTACGTTCAAACAGCAAGACATACTGGAGCGTCTCAATGCCCCCAGCGACTGACTGAGGTCTCTTTCCTCTCTCTGCAGTTGCAAAGTAATAAATTTATTATTTTTTTTTAAATACAGCTTTAGAAGAAATGTAGGGAAGGAGCAAGGGAAACGAGGGCTGCTGGGGGAGGGGGAGAGGAAAAAGGAGATCAGCCTTCAAGTTTGCTTTCCAAGTCCTTCCCTTTGATTGTCTTAGCAGGGTAAAGAAGCAAACCGAGGCTGAAATGCACGGAGGAAAAGCAAAGAAACAAAAGCGAAGGCAAGGGCGACAGGCCTGGTGCAGGAGGCCCGGCAGGGCGTGTTGTGCAGAAAGTGAAGTTGGGCTCGGGGACTATGAGGCACAAAGCGAGCAGCGTGCTGGCTGCAGGCTTCGGCCGCGCTCGTTGAGAACACGTGTAGCGGCGGCCCCGGGGCCGAGGGCTGGGAAGCGGCGGACAACTAGGGGTCCCGACTCCCACCTCCACGCCTGTCCAGCCCGGCCACAGGGTGACGACGGTTCCCTGGGCCAGCCAGTTGGAGAGGTAGGAAATGAGGCTTGGAAAACTCGGCTGGTTAACCTGGTGCAGTCTCAGTATCACCGCACACACCCCAAGCGCGGGTCCTGGCATTCATTCTGTGTCCATAGGCTCACACTTTTTACTTTAGGAGACCTCTGCAAATGCGTTTCTCCCGTAATTCCCCGTACCCGTGTGCGCAGGGCGGCGGCGGCAGCGGTTATTCATTATTAAATGACGCTGCTTGCCCGCATCATTATAACTATTACTATTGTGATTTCGGGCTCCGAGACGAGAGCTGCAGGAGGCGGGGGGGCCGGGGTTCTGGCTGCAGAGCTGCCCTGCAAGCCCAGGGCGGCCGCCGTGGTCAGTGTTTGGCGCGGGGGTAAAGGGGCAGAAGAGAACCTGGAGAGACCAATGCGAACGTTCCGGATCCCGCCCTTTGGCGTGGCCCCGAAGCCCGAGAGCGTGCTCTCCCCTTTCCTCCCTATCAAAAATGCCCGCCCTGAAAGAGAGCGAAAACTGCACCCCACTCCGAGCCGGGACACAGGGATGTCGGCTGCACTCCCGGGCTCTTCTCCGCAGCCCGGGCCGAAGCATTTTTAAAGTCAAAATGAAGAACAAAGACATAAGGGGTGATTGGGGGAGAAAGGGAATTCTGCCTAACCATCCGTTTCCCCCACCCCCACCCTCGCAAAGCTCGTCCCTCCCCAGCCGAGAAACGCTGAGCAGCGGGTGGGGGAGGCTTTGGTACAGGTTCAAGTTCGCTGAGCTTTCTTGATCTTGTTCTGCCTCCTAGCGACCGAGTGGCTCACTCAGCCCAAGAAACAGAGGGTGGGGGTGGGGGTGGGGGTGGTCCTGAAGACTGGGATGGCTCCCACCCTCTCTGCGCACCCAGAAAATGAAAAAGGAGCGACCCACACACCCTTCCAAACTGGTCTTTTAACCCAAAGCACGCACTGGACTGGGGGCGGGAGAACGGGAGGCGGAATAACCCACCCAGTTTGGAGTGTCCCAAGGCGGCCCCGGGACGGGTGGGGAGGCAGAGAAGCAGCGCAGACTGCTCGCCTCAGTCCGTCCTTTTAGCCCCCCAGCGCATCCTTCCGAACAAGGGTCCGGCTCTCCCGAGTCCTGCGAACACTGCCCTTCCTTCCCGCCGGTACCTGGCCGGGCAGTAACTTCACACCGCTGCGCGCCGCGTCTGCTCCGCATCCGGCGCGGCCGGGGAAGTGGGGGGCGGGGGAGAGCGGCGAGGGAGGGATGCGCGGGGGTGGGGAGAGGGAGGGCCCCGCAACGTGCCGGGGCGGGGGAGCTTCCGAAGTGTGTGACAAGTTCCAGCGCTCAGTGAAAAATGCAATTCCCTGCGCGCACCCCCCTTTAAAAAAAATACATAACTGGGTGTAGGTGGTCCTGTAAAACGACATCAAAAAGTAAAGTAAGGGCTTTGAGTGAAGGGGGAAGGGATATGGGCCCTCTCACGCCTTTCTTTCACTTGGCTGCCAAACTTTCGTAAGTGCCCACCGCCCGCCTTTCCGGGCGCATGCTGTTAACCAGGACAGCCACCACCATCACCCTAGCTTATATAGACTCACAAGGAACCCCTCTCCGCCCCCGACCGAATGAGGCCGGGGGTAGAGGGCAAGAACTCAAGGGTGGGATGCGCTGAGCCCCAGGATCCAACTCCCCCCAAACGCAAACTATTACCCCTGCCCGCCCCCACCCCTCACCCCCAACCTGGCCAGGCCACGCTTGCGAGCAGGGTACTGGTGGCCATACCCAGTGGGAGGGGGTCAAGGAAAGCACGTGGTGACCTCTCCGCCGCCCGGTGCGGTGGACTAGAGACCGCGGTGGGTTGAGGGAGCGGGCGGGGCGTGAGGGACAGAACACGCTTTTTCAGTTGCAGTGCAAAATAAATGCTTTGCAAAGCGGAGTTTCTCCCAGCCGATTTCGCAGTCGGGTTGGCGGGGAGGAGGTCCGAGCATTGTGCTGGGGGAAAGGGGGGGACGGTGGACACGGTTGGCGTGAAGTCGCGGCACGGCCTGCCGCTGTGCGGGATAGCGGGCAGCGGGTGGGCGATCCCAGGCTGGGCGGGGGCGCAGCGAGGCCCGGCGAGGCCCGGCCGCCACCGCCTGTTCCCGGGCTGCCGCGCCGCGCTTGGTCCTGTCTGTTTGTTGGCAGGAGGCTCCCGCACACGCGGTGCTTGTAAACATTCAGACACGAGATTTTTCCCAATCAAAATCCACTTCCACTTTTTTTGAAAATCTTCCAAAAAATAGTAAGAGGAGGGAGTTCCTCGCTCCCTCTCCGTGCCGCCGGCGCTCTAAGTTTGGAACTAAAGGGGTTTTGGGGAGGGGGGTATTGTTTTGTTTTGTTTTTTCATCTATTAGAGATTGAGATTTTTTAAGAGGGGGGGAGTCTAAGGAGAGCGTTGCAGAAAACGGCCGGCCGAGCGCCTAGCTTATGTTTGGAGACAAGATATTTTACGTTCTCTTGCCTTGTTTTAATTTTGGTTTTATTTTATCCTATTTATTTTGCACGCGTTCTTGCCGGGAGGGGTAGGCGGCGTCGGCCCGAGCGCCCTCCCTCCCTCTCCCGCTCGCCCCCGGCCCTGGCTCCTGCCCTTCGGCGGCGGCGCATGAGGACCAGCGCGAGTAGCCGGCACAAAAGGCAGCGGGACAAACACCCATCTCGGCCCGAACAAAAGGCTGCAGCGCCGGCCGCGACTCCGGTCCTCCCCAGTCGCCCGGCAATCCCTGCAGCCGCGGCCCCTCACCACACTCGGCGGACTCTAGTGTGCCGGGGGCACCCCCCTCCCACAATCCCACTTTCTCACTATTGTGGAGATGACTACTTTCCTCCTTGTGCACACTTGACCGTGAGCGCACCGGTGTCCGAGGGCCAGTCTCACCTTTTTTCTCCCTAGGAATTGTTTTGGGGCTTGGGTTCCCTTCCCCCCACCACCACCACCGTTTTCCTTCCCTCGGTGAGTGGAGGCAACCCCCCTTTGCCCTCCAGCTCCTTTCCCTCGGTTTGCAGGAGAGTTGTCCGTATCTAAAGCATTGTTCATTATTTTGCAAAATTGGAGGGGAAATCAATGCATTCCTTCTCGAAAAGCAAAATAAAGCTGTAGAAAGTAGGGAAGAGGAGGAGTCAAATTTTTGTAAAATTGAATAAAATTGAAAGGTGCGTGCTATCCCCAAAGTGTACATATGGCTACGGTTCAGGATGGGATGAGGGTTTTTTTTTCCTTCTCCCTTTAATCTCTTTTATACCGACTCTCGGAGGTTTTTCTCGTGAAAAAAATTTAAAATGCATGCACACACCCCTCTCTCCCCCTCGCTCTAGCTTCCCCTCTTGCGCGCTCTCGTGATTATTAATAATTATTATTACTATTATTGGGTTACTTACGCGAGAATTCCCGTTTGCTTAAGTGCTGGGGTTTGCCTTGCTTGCGGCGAGACATGGTGGGCTGCGGGGCGGGCGGCGGCGGCGGCGGCGGCGGCGGGCGGACGACGGCTCGGTTCACATCGGGAGAGCCGGGTTAGAAAGAAGGAGACTCCAGAGAAAATATCTTCATCAGTGCCTTTTGACATCCAAAATAAATTAGAAATAATACAAAGATGGCGCAGGGAAGATGAATTGTGGGAGAGCCGTCATGGCTTTTTTTTTTTAAGCAAAAAAAAAAAGAGAGAGAGAGGAGAGATAGAGGGGGAGAGAGAGAGAGAGAGAGAGAGAGAGAGAGATGAAAAAAAATGGCAAAAGCCCCCCTGAGCTGCAAGTTCAAGTGCGGACGTGACGTCCCTGCGAACTTGAACGTCAGGAGTCTGGATGGACAGAGACACACAAAACATGGGCAGGGCGAGCAGGAGAGAAGGGGAGGAGGGAAGGGGAAGCTCACACCAATGGACACACATCAGGGGCTGGACATGAAAAAGAGACCAGGACAAGCCAATGGCCAGTGTGGGGCGGGGGAGGTGCGGGGCGGGGGGCTCCTCAGACGCCAGACGCGGCCCCCGGGGGAGGGGCGGGCGGAGAGGAGGGGGCGCTGGGGCCGCAGGCTCACCAGTGGCCGCAGCGAGAGCCGAGGCGGCGGCGTGGCTGAGAGAAGAAAGGGGCGGCGGGGGCGGCGGGGGCGGCGGGGGCAGGCCATGCGACCGCTCCCCTCCCATACACCCCGCATGCGGACCCTAAAATGAGAGAGTATTTTTTTAAAAGAAAAAGAAAGAAAGAAAAAGTGTATGGGGAGGCTGCAGCCCGGGTCCGGGGAAGCGCGGGCGGAGGGAAGCCAGGTAGAGTTGCTCCCGGACACCCTCCTCCGTGCGCACACCCACTTCCCCTCACCACCGCCGCGGCAACGCTCGCTCCCAGCGTGCGGACGACGGGGCCGAAGTGAAAGCCCTGAGCCCAGGGCTGCACTAGGGAAACTTTGCCCGAGGAGAGGATCGCAAAGAAAAATCACCCGAAGTTGAGAGCTGAGCCTCCCAAGTTACAGCTCTGCAGCGGGCGAGGGAAGGAGGGAGGGAGTGCGCGGCGAAGCGGAGTCCAGCCCAAGTTTGGAGGGTTGCGGGTCCGGAAGGGCAGCGCCAGGGCCTCCGGGAGACTCGGCGGCCTGCAGGGAGGGAGAACCGGCAAGAGAGGCTTGGAGGCCCGGGCTGGAGAGCCGGGGACGCGCCCCCAAGGCCGAGCTTGGGGACGCGGGATCTGAGCGCCCCGACAAGCAATTGGGTCAGAATGCAACTAGAAGCACGGAGTCCAGGCCCCCATGGGTCGCGGAAAGAGAGAGGCCAAGGAATAAAGAACAAGGAGCCAAACTCAGGGCACGTTCCCGCCCCCGGAGGGGAGCACCGGGCCCAGGGCGAGGAAGGCGCCGCGGCGTCCGCTTTACCAAGCGGCCGCGGGCCAGAGGACAAAGCACGGGCAGTCCCGGGAGTTTCAGTCCCTGGGAACGTGCTCCCGCGCCGCGGGAGATCCTCGAGCCAGGTCCCAGGGAAGGACACACCCCCAACCACTACAGAGCGACTGCAGATGCACAGAGGAACGGAAAGAAAATGTTTCTTACGGGCACAGCGCAACTACTGCTGTGCTGTTACCCGGGGAAAGAAAATGGGGAATGGAGAGCAAGCGACTGGCTTGCAAAGGCGGCGGGGAGGCCACGGCGGTGGGATGGCCGTCCCGGGTCAGCGCCGCGTCCCGGGTGCCCCGTGCCAAGGTGCACACCCTGGAACCCGCAGCCCTCTGGCCTTTCTGCAGACGCTCCTGGGAAATTAGGCAAGACCTGTTGGAAATAAACCTCTGTCTCTTTAATGCACACAGGCGCACACACGCTGCCGCTGTCAAAAAGCGGGCTTCACTCTGGCGTGGGATACTTTCAGTTTTACGTAAATGTACGGCAACAGCACCCCCTGCGATCGGAAAGTTTATTCAGAAACGTGCCTGCAAAGTACCCGGCGCCTCCTGCCTCCCAGCCTCCCTGCCTGCCTGCGCCGCCCGGTAGCCGCCGCCGCCTAGACCGCGCTGCGACTCCAAATCCGGAAGGGAAGGGGGAGAGGGAAACGGGCTCCTGTCCCAGCTAGGCGCGGAGGGTACGGGCGGAGGCGGGTCGCCTCGGCCCGGGAGGCTGCAGGCTGCAGGTGGACGCGTGTGTGTCTGCAGACGGGAGCCTACCTTCCCTCTCCTCCACGAGGCTCCACAACCCCTCGGGGCTTCTCTTCCCCTCCTCAGTCTAAGGGACGTCGTTTTCGTAAATTCACCCACCCGGCTGGGGGCTTTATTATTTTAAGAGAGGGCCCCTGGCTTGCACGCGCGCCCCACCTCCCAGTCGCACCCGCAAGCGGCTGTTTTTATTCATGTATTGTCCTAGTAAAGTTTCAATCCTATTATAAAATGACCGGCTTGCATAGCTCGCCGAAGCTTCGGGTCCCTCTGAGAAAGAAGGAGAGGTTTTGATGCTCAGCACCAGGAGAATGAGGGCTGGACTGACTTGATGTAAACGTGGCTTGTTGTTCCTGTTTCCCTCCAGTTTGAGTGGAAAAAACTCAAATCCTGTTTAAAAAGCAGGAAGATTCACTTACTGTAAAGCTCTGTAGCCTATGTGTTATTCCATTTCCCCTTTTTCATGAATTCTTCAGAGCAGGTCAGCGTTTCCCTTGCACTGTTTAGTTTTGTGTATTGTTAAACTAGCTCTAGAGCAAACCAAACAATGTCATTGCAGTATTGGGTTGGGGGACTGGACATGGAGAAGAATGGTTGGTGGGAAGGTGAGGAGAGGGAGGAAGAAAGTGCGAATGCAAAGCCTTTGACAAATAAATAATAAAATTAAAGCCCCTTCAGGTAACAATAGTGAGTCAGATTCTTTCAGAACCAAGCTTTTCAAATTTAAATATTTTTCCCCTCCATCCATCCATAAAAGTCCATGTAGAGAGAAGGTATATAAATGGGCAAATGTGTATTGGGGAAATATATATGTATGATTTATATATAATGGGGTGTATAAAGCTTTTCAGGGTTGGCTGTAGTATAAAAAGTAATGACTTTATTACCTCTGAAAGGTTCTGTGGTTCACATTTAACAGTATTCTGAATTACAATTCATTACACAATTGTGTGCTCTCTAAAACCGGCACCCTATCAGGGCCGCTATCTGTGGTTATTTCCAATAAATAACTGGCAACATTTTATTGATTTTCTTTTTTTAAAAAATCATAGGAAATTAAGCACTTAGTTACAAGTAGGTCTGCTATATTATTGCACTTGTTTCAGATTCCAGGGGGTTCCTTCCAAAACCACATCTTAAAACACACATTAAAAACCCAGTTTTGCAGCTGCCTTCCCTGAGCGCCAGTGGAGAGGTAGCAGCAACTTTCTACCATTTACATATAGTTCATTTCACCATCATAAAATGCTCAGAGTGAAATAGGAACTGTCCTCCCCTCCTGCCCATCCCCCAGCCTTGGTTTTACCCAGTCCAGAAAACCAAGGCGTATGTGGTGGCATTTGATCCCTCCTGTCGCAGACCCCACCCTGGGTCCTTCGTCTTTGCCCCTACAGTGATGGCCTCTCCTCATTGCTGCTGGATGTTTGCTAAATCATCCAACGGTGGGGGGAGGGGAGAGGGGGAGTTTGTATGGGTGTTATAAAGAAATAAAAATGTGTTGTTTTAAGAGGTTTAAAAATATTGCATAAGTATTGATTAATAATGCAGGTGGTTTTGTAGAGGGGTGGAAGGTCACTTAAAAGCATACACTTGGAGATGGAGAAACAGTAAGTATATTTACCTTTCCAAAAGTGGCTTTGAGAAAGTAATAAATTATGACAATGTTAAAATTATATTCTGGCTATTCAGTTAACTTCATATGGAGGTAAAGAACCTTTGCTGATTCCACGGAGGGTCTAGTTAGGCTGTGTGGGCCCTTTCCCAAACCTTTGGTGACGACATTGCATGTAAACTCCAGGCCTACAGACAACCCCTCCTCTCCCCTCCTCCCTTTTTATCTTGCCCGTGGAGGAGACTCCCCAAGACTTCCTGCAGTATATATTCTGCCTCTGATCTCCGTACTTAATAGCCAAGTCCTGGTTTATGCTTTATAATGTGTTGACAAGTTTTCTAACAGACTTTCTGAAATAATGCACATATATTCACATCGGTTAGAAACCCACCGTATTTTTAGAGTCGAGTAGATCTATACCCTAATGCAGTGAGAGAGTGTAAATCATAGAGGATTTCATAGTCCTTTCAGTAGTTTTCGGTATGAAGTATGAGCCGCGTGGCCTCCAGACGTAACCTTTTAGAAAAAAAGACAGTGCTTTTATTTTATGGTGTAAAGTGCTTTTAGCTCCAGGGCTCTGAACGTGAATGTGGTCAACAAACAGTTCCAAGAGGGAGGCTTAATACAGTCCCAGCCCTCCAGCGGAGGATCGCCCCGCGCAGAGGACTCGGGCTGAGCTGGAGAATGAAGGGTTAAAAGGTCTATCTCGGTGGAAACTACAAGGTTAGAGTACAGTATTCACTGTCTGCCTTTAGGGGGAAACACCTTTACAGATTTAAAGATAAATGAATGACTGAATAAATGGTTAAAAATTCGATCGGCCCCACCTTGATTTTAGCTTCATCGTTTTTTTTTCTCTCTCCCTATTGGCAGTTGAGAAAATAGAGAATGGGCAGTCCTCCTCATAAAAACAAAACTTAGGTTTGGATTCCACACTTACAGGTTTTGCATTTGGGGTTCTTGAGGATGGGAGTTCTAGGGTGTTGTTAAGACAAAGGAAAAATAATTTAAAAAAAAATAAAGGGGGCTGTGTTTGAGGAACGGGGTGGGCTTTCTGTGGGCACCCTCAATTGAAAGGTGAGAAGAACCGCAGTCCCCTCTTTTCCCCAGCCTCCTCAGCCCCTAACTCCTATAACATTCCTTCCTCCTCTACTCCCCATGACCCAGAGGCTGGGACCTACGGAGGCCCCTGGAGGGAAGCGTCTACACCTTCTATAAAGGCACTGAAACTGCCCATCCCCACCCCACCACCACCTCCACCAGGGAGGCTCCCTGATCCTTTGCTGGCTGACAGGCTGTACTCCACATACCTAGATGGTCCTGTCCAAAAAAAAAAGAAAGAAAGAAGAGAAGAGAGGGTTGACGGGAGAAGAGGAAAGTGGAAAGGAAGAGAAGGAAGGAAGGGAGGGAGGGAGGAAAAGAAGGGAGGAAAAAGCTGAATCTGCTCTAAATAAACCTATACTTGCTTCTAGACTGGGCTGTTGTGTGCAGAGTCAATAAGATATGGGGAGCGGGACAGAAGTAGCCTCACCACTTAGGTAAGAGTCCCCTTTCAAGACAGCAGAGAGTTCTGTTTTGAACACTGCTAGGTAAAATACTCAATTTAGCTCCCTAACATTGACATCAAAATCATCGGTGTTTGACAATGAAACCAGTCCAATGTACTGCCCTAGAAACATCCCTAGTGCAATCCTTAGCGCACAGTAGATGCTCAATGAATGTTTTTTGAGTGAATAAGTAAATGAATCCTATCACCACATAAATGAAACCAACATAACCATCCAAATTCTGTTAGTTTACCCCAGGGACCAGTAAGGCTTTGATCAGGCAATGCTTTGTAAGAATGTATCTTATCCTAAAAGTGATTCCTACCAAAGATGGTGAGCTCAAGAACATTATCCCAAACAGCACAACAGCTGAAAATTAAGACTGCAATGCCAGATATACTCCAGCAGGCTATATTATCAAATATCTTCCAAATAAACCAGTATTAAGAACCCAGTATTAAAATATTCATTTTTTTAACATTGCTTTTTAGATAGGTACAAATCTGGTTTCCCAAATGAGAGCACTTCTAAAGGAAAAAAATACAATCAAACAACCAAAAATTAAAAATATCTCAAACTACATGCTTTGTGCCAACCCCCCCATCATGAATCTTTTGCTTTTAACAAGGGAGTAATTTTTCAATACATGTTTTTCAAACCCAGTCACAAGCCTCACCTATTTGTTTTTGGGGGGGGGTAATAAATAAAAGAAAAAAAAATGAAACATAACACACACACACACACACACACACACACACACACATCTGGTCTGACATTTTGTACAGCCAGTTTCAGCCCAATGTGATTTAAAACAATGTGAGTTAAAAACCACTTAAAATTTGGGTTTATAATGGAAATGCTGACAGACTCTTAATTATAGCAGCCCTGCCAGACACTGCTATAATGAAATAGTTGTGCTTTCACTACTATAGAGGCACTATAGTTAAGGGTCTGTCAGTGTTTCTATTATAAACCTCAAGTTTAAGAGGTTTATAAGTTGGGATATTTAAATGGCAGTGGGTGGAATTCAAGTTATCAGTCCAGATGTGAAGTTGTTTTATAAAAGACAGAAAAACTCAGCTGAGGAAGTTTTGGAGATCTCTCTCCATCTCTCTCTCTCCCCTCCCCTTTCCTTCCCTCTCTCCCTCCCTTCCTTACAGAACATCACAGAAATGACTTTTAGTGGTTTCAGATGGTCTTATTGTCAACTTCTAGCTATGACTTCACTGTCTAAAAGGAAATTTTATAGGCAGTTAGTCCATTATTTGAACAAGTACTCTTTGCTGTTATTCTAAGTTTTTATTATTTTATTACCCTAGAATATATATATATAATACATACACATATAGAAAAAGAGTCAGAGGCAGAGAAACAACGAACTAAAATCACCAGGATATATCAAGGAATGTTGCAACCTCATATACAAACAAATATACATTCTTGTCACATTCTTATGAAAAAGTGTAAATTTACCTATAAGGAAAAACAAAGCTCCTCAAATCTCCACTATCAACTGTGTGGTAAAAATAAAAGAGGTATTAAAATCTTATTTCAGAAGTTTGTAGCTTTTCTGGTATCACTTGGTTTGTTCAGAGAGCAAGGACTAGCATGGTGGACTCAGCACTGAACTGCACAAAGACTACACATGAACACCATACATTTCTCTGCTTGACTTTGATCATTGATAGACTGATGAAGAATTTACCTTGGAGTATCTAATGAACCAGATTTTTGAAATATGTTCTAGTAACCTGGTATACTACCACCATAATACATACTTCATGTGAGTGATGATGTGGTTGATGCTGAGTCTGTCATAAAGAAAACAAGAATGGTACTGGTGATGGTGGTGGTGAAGGAGGGGACAGTGTTGCCGACGGTGGTGGTAGGGATACTGGTGACTGGTAATGATGATGGCGGAGGTGTGAGATGGGGGTGGGGTGGTTTCTCTAGTTAACATGTCCATCAGAGGGCAGTACAAGTAAGATGAAAGATGAAGATAAAAAGCTCAAATCCTTGTTTCTCCAACTCTTGTTG